TTAAATACTAGCAATCAATACAAAAATATTTAAAAACCATCCCAGAACCCGGTGTCACAAGTGCATGAGCATCTACTGATAAGGAAATAAAATACAATACAACATCCGTCCGGAATACAGTGAATGGAAGGAAAATACAATTTACTGGAAGGGACTTTACTAGCTGCGGGCCGCCTCGAATAATACAACTCACCTAGTCCCCGAATCATCCGTGCTGCTATGCCCAGTGGGCTGCTAGAGATAAATATACCTGTGCAACAAAAATACACAGAAGTGTAGTATTAGTACGTAAACCACGTGTACTCAATGAGTATCCCGTCTAATCTCGAAGATGTAGAGACGAGATGGTCAACTTCGACACTTACTAGAGGTCATTTGATAATATACTAAAAATGTGAGGAAATCATGGATTTATATAGCAGTCCTAATTCACGAAGCCAGAAAACAGGTAAACACCTTCAACAAATAATCAAGGATTTTCAAGGTTTACTCTTTATTATCTTATCAATTTATATCAAGCCATGAAAAGCAATATCAACATTTAAAATTCTCGGGAAACAATATACATATCATGCGCAAATCATGCCGAGGTCGACGACCCGCTCTAGTAGAAATGTAAACTGTGCACTGCCGAGGGTCGAACGACACGAACCATAGATGCATCTATTTAATCTGCCGAGGCGTTCGGCCCGTTCCATAAATAAACACATACCCTGCTCGCGAATCATGCATGCGACGCAGGTACACATAGAGATACATGCTCAATCAGTCAATTAAGAAGTCATCGGAATATCTACCCGAATAAAACAATTTCTCTTTTTAACAATTCAGGAAAAATGATGTTTAATCTCCTTTTAAATTCATTTACCAATCCAAGGTGATTCAAGCAATTTAAGCTATCAATGGGTTCATAAATAATCCANCTTGAAGAAAAGTGACAAGTTCTCTGCTAGAGCTGTTCCAGCAGTATTCTTGGGTTATTCTTTAACTCAGAAGGGTTATAAATTGTTGGATCTATCTAATCATGTAGTTTTTGTTAGCAGGGATGTTATTTTCCAGGAAGACAACTTCCCATTTATGCAAGTGTCAAGTGGATCAAGTTCAATTGTTCCATCTACACATCAAAATCACCATGTACCTATTACAGATATTGATGCCAATCCAATGTCAACTACGTTTCCCAATGATGATTCTGCATTTGATATAATGCCCATAGATTCTCCACTTCCAAATATGTAGGAAGACATCTTACTCAATAGCCCTATTGATGATTCTCCTACACCAACTATTATGGATACTTCTACATCACCTACTGATGATTCTACAACTACTGCACACTCACCATCACCTCAGTATGAAGACAATTTTGAACCTCACAGGAGCTCTAGAATTTCTAGAACTCCCATTTGGATGCAGGACTATGTGAGTTCCCAGAAAAGTGCCTACCCTATTTCCAACTCTGTCAGCTATCTTCAATTGAAACCTCACTACTCCAAATGCTTGGCTGCTTAATCTTCTGAGACAGAACCAAGATCTTTTGCTGAAGCTGCTAAGGACCCTAAGTGGGTTGATGCCATGCAACAAGAAATTCAAGCCTTGAAGGATAATCAGACTTGGAGCTTGGTGCCACTACCACTTGGCAAGTAACCTATAGGGTGTAAGTGGGTGTTCAAAATTAAATATCAAGCTTCAGGTGAGGTCGAGAGATACAAATCTCGACTTGTAGCAAAAGGTTACACACAGAAGAAGGGCCTTGACTACACTGATACTTTCTCACCTGTTGCTAAAATGGTGGCAGAAAGATCAATTGTAGCACTAGCAGCTTCCTCTGGTTGGCCTCTTTATCAGATGGATGTTCATAATGCCTTCTTGCAAGGTGACTTAGTTAAAGAAGTTTACATGCTTGTTCCTCCTGGTTTCTCTAAGGGAGTTGCCAAACAGGGGGAGTACCTTGTATACAGGCTACATAAGTCCCTATATGGCCTTAAACAAGCATCCCGACAATGGAATATCAAGTTATCTGAGGCACTACAGACCATGAGATTTTCTCAAAGCCACTATGATCACTCTCTATTTACCAGGAAAACTGATACTTACCTTGTTCTAGTGCTCGCTTATGTGGATGATTTGATAGTCACTGGGAACAACATTACATAAATTAACAAGACAAGGGCCAACTTGCAGCAGTGTTTTAGAATGAAGGATCTTGGAGAATTGAAATTCTTTCTTGGGATCGAGTTTGCTCGATCAGATAAGGGCATATACATGAGCCAACGCAAATATGCATTAGAGTTAATTTCAGAATTTGGACTGGTTGGGGCCAAGCCTTCTAGCACACCATTAGAAGTAAACCAAAAATTGACTTCTGTTGATTTTGACAAATTGGCTTCTTCCTCTGATAATACCGTTCAAGACCCTCTCTTGAAGGATGCTGGTGAGTTTCAAAGATTGGTGGAAAGATTACTATACTTAACAATGACTAGGCCGGATATATCATTTGCTGTACAAACCTTAAGTCAGTACATGCACTCTCCTAAACAATCTCATCTAGATGCAACAAAGAGAGTTGTCAGATATGTCAAAAGTGCACTAGGGCAGGGGCTGCTATTACCATCACCAGGTGATGGGACTTGAAGGCATATTGTGATGCTGATTAGGGAGCATGCCTTCAAACTAGAAGGTCAGTCACTGGCTACTTAGTATTTTTTTGGCAATGCTTTGATTTCTTGTAAATCAAAGAAGCAGGAAACAGTGGCATGTAGTTCAGCTGAAGCTGAGTTTAGAAACATGGCTTCAACTGTAGCAGAATTTGTGTGGCTCGTTGGTCTGTTTGGTGAATTAGGTGTCAAGTTGCAATTACCTGTGGCTCTATTTTGTGATAGCAAGGCATCGATCAGAATCGCAGCAAATCCTATCTTTCATAAACGCACAAAGCACATTGACATTGATTGTCATTTCATTAGAGAGAAGATAAAGGCTGGTATCATCAAGACTATACATGTGAACACAGGAGCAGATAGCAGATTTATTGACTAAGTGACTTGGACGAACACAACACCATCATATGCTTTGCAAGCTTGGAGTGAAGAATATTTTTCTACCCTCCAGCTTGAGGGGGAGTATTGAGCCGGGATAGTATGTGTATGTACAGAAAAGTAGGGGTTAAAGTGTACGAAGTAGAAGTTAGTAACTAATTTAACTAATAGGGCGTATTAGTAGCTGTCTGTATATTAGACTAGCAGAGCTTTTCTTCTTAGCTAACTTCTTCTTCTCCAATCGTGAATAACAATGGAGATTTCTCTGATTGCTCTCTCTCTCTCTCTCTCTCTCTCTCTCTCTCTCTCTCTCTCTCTCTGATCCTCATGCATGTCCTCTTCTATGGTAGCTTGATAGGGTTCAAGCTGTAGTATGAAGTCGCTTTTGTTAGGGAATGCTTTACTCCCAATCTGGAACTTCCCAGCGTGAATCCTGATTTAATCGGGCCCCAATACGAATATCGGACACCGGGTGAAAAACCAATTCAAATTAACAAACTCTAAAATGTAAATTGAAATGAAAATTTGCCACGACCCAACTGGGGCCAATAACCACCTCCCCGTGAGCTCACCTCACCAAGCAAACTTTAGTAGTATAAATATATTTAATATAACAAACAAAATCGAAAATAATTTAATCATATTATAGAAGGAAAATAGTAATTTACCGGAAAATAAGTTAGTATTATGTTACACCTAGAGTTAGATACAAAGAATATTAATCGTACAAGAAAGGAATTGTTGTGTATATATAGGATAAGGTATGCCAAAAGAGGAAATACAAGAAAGTATCTTCTTTTTATATTTACATTTCCCAACCTTACTTACCAAAAGGAAGATGTATGTACATCTTCAAACTTATAGGCAAAACTTATACGCAAAAGAGCCAATAGATTTTTCTTTTTTCTTTCTTTTTTCCCCTCTTGCTCCCTCATTCCGCCACGTAAAGCAATACATTATTGGACTTGGTCAAGATTTTAATGAAGACAATAGATACTATAATAAGATGACAAAAGTAGAGCCTCCATTGTTGGATTGGGGAAAGTTGAGAAACATAAAAAGTAGAAAAAAGTGCAAATGGCGAAAGGGTAGCATATAATTAAAAACCATATATTCGCTATCTATCATTGACATACCGAAAAGAGAAGAAGGTGCGCGTCAAAATCTTTTGAGGTTATGTGGAGGGTCCAATGCAATAATAGTGCCTTGTCTTGCAATAACAGTATTTTTATCCAATGATATTCGGAATGCGCTGATAAAGACGGTCCCAGAATTTGAATGCCGAAGATGTACTTTTGCATTCAACCAAAATCTACTTTGTAAATAGGGTGTCATTACTGTTTGACCAAAAGTATAAAACTCTTTGTTAAACTACTTAAGTAAAAAGATAAGGGGTTAATCCTAGTTAAAGATAATAACCTTGGATCTAAAATAAGTTCATGTGAATAATGTGGGGACCATGTTATTATGGATTTAATGCAATATACATTAAATGTTACGGCTACAAATGGAATGAGGATAATGATAAGCAATAAATATAATAAATGACACTAAAAGTAAATAAGGAGGAAGATTCACCGAATATTGAATGAGGTGAATGATTCATTCTTCTGACAATGATGAATGACAAGAATATAAGAAAATATTGGACATTTTCTCGGATCTGGTGGGAATGACTCTGGATAATACGAAAAGATCGAATCTCTTTAGACAGTTGTTCTTTGTATTTATCTAGAGAGCTTACTTCTCAAAAGTGTTCTTATCATATGGAATATTACATGTCTTTTTCCTTATCTTTCCTCCTATTTATATGGGGTATTCCCAAAGAACCCTAAAAGGTACAAACAGAGGGAATATTCAACCGAATATTCCTTTTGAAGGTCCCACAGCTATACTAGACGTTACTTCTATCCATGTTGCTCGACCTCGACCCTGATGAACAACTCAGCGGCTACTTATGTCAATCACTGGTCGACCTCGGCTAAACTGCCCATATTGATTTGCAGGTCACTCATGATAATCGTCTCCGCATATTGAATTTCTCTAGTTCGATTTTGACCCATACAGTTAGTCCCTCTGCTTATCGAGGTCGTCTTTTGGTCGACCTTGATGAGCGGACTTCATTAGTCGTAGTTTGAGAAATTCAATGGGGAGGTCGAGTAGTGAGGATCGCGGCTAGATGGTGACATGGCATTTTGAGAACCACACTCGACTGTTACGTCATTTTAGAATGACATCATAACGTCATGCATCATTATTGCACATGTTTCCGATACGTTACCCCATTTCTCGTGCCCCTGTCATTTCGAAATTAGTGCAACGATGCTCTGTATCCTCGATTAGGGTGCCTGCATTCTTATAAATAGGGATGGGAACCTTTCATTTGGTTGCTGCATTTTCAAGCATTCGAACCTCCAAGCTTTTCTTTCTTCTTCTCAAAGCTCTTGCATTCCATCTTCCAGCAACTTCCGCCATTATCACTTCTTCTGCACTTTCAATTCCTTCGCATATACGTAACAAAAGATGGCTAGTGCATCTTCCAACCTGAGGGGACCGCTAACCCGGTTCCATAGTCAGTGGTCATGCTCTCTCATGATAAAGGGGAAGCCATTGTTGCAGAGGATGAAAGCTTTCCCACTATGGAGGAAATCATTCCTCGTAATTCGGGCTCCAGGTCGGACTTCTCGAAGTCTCCTGCAGACGAGCCTGAACCTGTGAAGTCCGAGATAGAAGCAGCCTATCTTGCCGAGCTTAGGACCAAGTACTATATCCCTGCTCACATCGATCTGGTCCCAGCTGGGAACGACGTGATCCATATTCATCGTTCTGGGTATTGCGCATTTTACGCGTACCCGTTTCCAGTGGGCTACTCTCTTCCTCTTCCCTCGTTGACGGAGGAATTTTGCCGCTACTATGGCATCTATCCGGCCCAGTTCTCCCCCTATATTTACAAACTCTTTCTTATGTTGATAAAGAACGTGGAGCTGGACAACCGTGGGATTTCTATCCGCCATCTGCTGCATCTTTTCATGCCAAGCTTTCATAGGGGTACGATGTGTTACAGGGCTAATTTTAGCACAATTGACACTGCACGGCAGTAGCCAAACTCTCAGCCACTCAGTCTTACTTTTTTCGCACATAGTTTAGGACTTAGATTATTTCAGACTTAGCAAAACGTAAGCAACACACAATAATACGGGTAAAACCCAACCTTTATTCAATTCTCGCAGAATGTACAAAGGAAACTCAATTGGAAAGCTCACATATGCTACTTGCCTTAGACCAACTAAATACAACATATAAAAGGGGCTGCCTATGGCAGATTACAAGGGCAGTTACACAGGTCAGTTATACAATGTGCCTTACACATGCTAAGCCTAAAAACAAGCATAACTACTTAGTCATAATTTGAATTCAAACTTTCCCACGAAATGAATCTCTTTTCAGTGTCACACCACCTTTTTTTTACACACCTACCCCGAAGGATAGTGTATAAGGGTGTTTTTCCATTTAAAGTGATATTATTCGAAATGGGATTATTTATTCGTTTCAGAGTCGCCACTTGGGATAGATTTGGCATTTGGTATCCCAAGTCACCGGTTTAACTTGAATCCCAAATCGAGGAAAATTTTCGACTTCCCAATTGGAGTCCGCGAACAAGAAATTCTAAGTAAGGAATTCTGTTGACCCGAGGGAAAGTGTTAGGCACCCCCGGATCCCGTGGTTCTAGCACGGTCGCTTAAACTATTATAACAGGCTAAAAATCTAATTTTTATACATGTCATCCTATAGTGCAATTTTAAAATTATTTACCGCTTTTAATTAATTTTTAGGAAATTGAACGTCGTTTAAAATATATTTTTGGACCGCGTCACATGAAATGCACCCGCAATCCGAAACACATTTTATTCAACGTTTTAGGATTTGGATTTGGGTCACATGAAATGCACACCCGAGTTTAGGAAGGTAAGATTATTAAAGAACGCGCCTAAAGTGACTAACGTGTAATTAACTTTGCGGGAGGCCATGAAAATTTGCTACATGGCACGTTCTGAATTCTAAGTATTTTAATATTAAGTATTTAAAGAGGGCCACGCGATTTATGAATTCTATTTGGCGCGGCGCATCTCATTTTTATTTTAAAGGCCATCCTAAATGAATTATTATTTCTTTCTATTAATGATTGTCTCTAAAGAGCCTCATCAATTAGCATTTGGGCCTCAAGTTCAAGTCCACACTTAAACAAGAGGGAAGCCTCTTAATTCAAGTGTGCTACTTAGCTTGGAAGGTCCAAAATTGCATTATGAGTTTGGGCAATAGTCTTGTTCAAGGCCTTTAGCGCACTGGCTTCGAAATTAGCCCAAGAAGAGAGATAATTTGATCAACTTCATAAAGGGGCTGCCTAACGTTGGGCTTAACAATTTTTTGTGAACAAATAGACAATTTATTTCAATCAAAGGCATGCTAGTCAATGCAGTTTATTTCAATCAATCTGGAGTTTTAACGATCATTTAGGTTTAATTAATACTATTTAAAAGATTGGACCATGAGAACAACTACTGAAGCTTTTAATTCTCCATGCTTGTTTCTAAATCATTG